TTTTTTTTTTTTTTTTTGGTACTGAAGATCGAACTCGAGACCTTGCACTTGCAAGGCAGGTGGCGGAACCACTGAACTAAATCCTCGGCTCTGGAATTTTTATTTTAAGATATTGTCTTGCTAAGTTTCCAGGGTAGCCTCAAATTTGCCATCCTCCTGCCTCAGCCTCTGAGTACTGGATTATAGGTTTGAGGCACCATGGCATCAGTTTAGAGGTGAGAAGCTGGAGGCAGGGAGGCCGAGGAGTTTGTCCAGTCTCACAGCAGGTGGAAGAGCAGAGACGGCAGGCCCAGGTCTGTCTGCCTACTGCACTCGCAGGCACACTGATGCCACTGCTGTCACGTGCCCGGTGTCAACATTGGCTCCCCCTATGTTCTCGCCGGTTTGTGTGTCATAGACCATGCCCTGGCCCTGCCTCAGTGTGTTCCACATCAGGCCTCTGTTTACCTCACATAATCGTCCCTGTTCTTTCCTGTCACTCCGGTGGCCTCTCCCATTTCCCGTTCTCCCCCTACACAGCTGCACGCAGGGCCCGGGTCCCCACCTTGCTGCCCACTGAGCAGCTCATGTGTCCACTTCCCATCTGCACTGCGCTCAGCGCGTCAGTACCTGGGTGCCCTGGGCCGATGTCCCCACATGGTGTCCCTTCATGTCCCTGTGTGTCCCTTCATTGGCTGCTGGTCCACACCCATGTGTGTCCTGTCCCTGGGGCATCAGCCCAGAGCTCAGCTCAAGGACCACGCAGAGTTGGACACAGGCCTATCCCTGTTAGTGTGTGGCTCATCACCCGCATTGGTGGCCTGGCACATCCTCCAGGGCAGCAGCACCATCTGCTTCTGGCCCTCCCCAAAGTGCAGTGCAGGCTCTGCATGCTGGTGGCTCTGCCTGGTGACGTGCAGCGGCAGCTGGAGGAAGCGCCGAGCCTCCCCTCCTAAGCAGTTAAATTTTCAGATACACTTACCACTCTCATTGCTGTTGTTTCCTGAAGGGAAGTAGCAGGCATGTGCGTAGGATCTGTACTCTGGTCTCAGTGGTTCCGCCACCTGCCTCACAAGCACAAGGTCCGGAGTTCGATCCCCGGTACCAAAAAAAAAAAAAAAAAAAAACAAACTTCCAGGGAGACCACAGAGCAGAGGGTCAGTGACCACGCTGGGAGTGACAGCAGGGAGGAGCTGCTGTGTTAGTCTAAGCTGAGGGACAGGAGAGCTTCCCGAATTCTGCACTGGTGGTGGGCGTAGTGGCACACGCCTGTAATCCCAGTACTTGGGAGGCTGAGGCAGGAGGATTGCTGAGCGTTTGAGGCCAGCCTGGGCTACATAGTGAGACCCTGTCTCAAAAAAACAAACAAAAAAACCCAAAGAAAGGAATTTTGTGTTTGCCTGGTGAGGCAGACAGACCCTTGCTGTGTCAGAAGCTCCTGTGGGAGCCAGGCTTGGTGACATGCGCCTGTAATCCTTGCACTCTGGGAGGCTGAGGCAGGAGGACTGCAAGTTGTAGCTCAGTGCGTAGGCCCTGGGTTCAGTCCCCATTACTGGGGAGGTGGGGTTGGGATCTATAGAGCTCTAAGGCAGTCATGGGTGTCCCGGAGCTGGGTTATTGCCATCACCTGGCTGACCTGTGACCTGCCCAGGGGATGCCCTGTCCAGCCTGCACGGTGGCACTGGACATGGCGGGGCTGGCCCTGGCTTGTCAGTGGCTGTGTGGCTCGCATGTTGCTGCCGGGTTGGTCCACTCCCAACTCTGAGCACCATGGGCCCAGTGGGTGGGGCAGGGGAGCTCAAGGCTTTGGCCGTGGGTGGAGTCTCGCCCTGCCCCGCCCACCCACAGAGCCCATCCAGTCCCGCTGCGCCGTTCTGCGCTACACCAAGCTCACCGACGCGCAGGTCCTGGCGCGGCTCCTGAGCGTCATCGAGAAGGAAGCCGTGCCCTACACGGATGATGGCCTGGAGGCCATCATCTTCACCGCACAGGGCGACATGCGACAGGTGTGGGCCTGAGCCTGCTGGGAGGCGGGGCGGAGCCGCGGTGTCATCCTCACCGTGCAGCGCATCTGTCCCTCCACAGGCGCTGAACAACCTGCAGTCCACCTTCTCGGGCTTTGGCTTCATCAACAGCGAGAACGTGTTCAAGGTACGAGGCCGTGGCCTGGCTGTGCCACCTCAGCGGTGGCTGGGGCAGAAGTGGGGTGGCTTCTGAAGGAAGGGCACAGTGCTCAGCTGTGCTGCCCCCAGGAGGGTGCGGGGAGCCTGACCTGCTCGAGTTTCCCATCACACCCGTGAGGAGGCCTTGGGCTGTCTCAGCATGGCACTACTATTTTTCCCCCCAGAACTAGGGATTGAATGCTGGGCCATCACACTGAGCTGTATTCCTAGTCCTTTTTTATTTTTTAATATAAGATCTTGCTAAGTTGCTCAGGTTGGGCTCAAACTTGCGCTCCTCCTGCCTCCAGGGTTCCAGATCAACCTGGTTCTTACATGGATTCCCCGTGGTTCTGGGCACATGACTGCTCAGTGACCTAGTGAAGATTCCTTTCTGACTCCTGGTTGCTTTATGATCATTTGTTGTGTCTTTGAGGAATTCGTTATCAGGGCGCTGGAAACTTCTGGTTGGCTTCCTCAGATCTCGCCCTGCCGGAGAGCTGGGTGGAGACTCGAGCTGGGAAGGAGGCCATGGATGGCTGGGAGCTTGGAGCCTCCACCCCTCAGGCACCTCTTTCTCCTTGCGGCCAGGTCTGTGATGAGCCCCACCCCCTGCTGGTGAAGGAGATGCTCCAGCACTGCGTGAGTGCCAACATCGATGAGGCCTACAAGGTGAGCCGCTCCCTCCCAGCCTCGCCTTCCGGTCGGGAGCTCTGGGCTGGACTTGCTGCACCGGAAGTCAACTGGGGAGGAGGGGTGGAGGGTTCCAGCCTAACTTAGTCCCACGGTGGGATCTGACTTGACATGGCACTGGAGTTCCAGGCAGGGAGACTGAGGCAGGGAGCGCGGTCCAAGGGCCCTCACTGTGTGGCCTTGAGGGGAGCCTGAATTCACCCTGAGATGCCCAGACCAAGGCTCCAGACCCCTAGTGTGGACAGGGCAGTGAGGTCGGAGGCCAGGACCTGGGCTTTGCTGCCCAGGCCACTTGGCTCTGCAGTCCTGCAAGGCCCATTGATGAGGACTCTGCCGCCCCTGCTCCGAGCATTTGGCGGGTACATTCAGTGTTTTAAGACCACCAGGTGATGGCCGGGGATTTAGCTCAGTGGTTCTGGCACCTGCCTTGCAAGCGCAAGGTCCCGAGTTCAATCTCTGATACCAAAAAAACCCAAAAAACCACCAGGTGAGTCAGGTCCAGTGGCCCATGCCTGTGATCCCAGCACTGAGGAGGCTGAGGCAGGAGAATCGCCACAAGTTCAAGGCCAGGTTGAACTACATAGCTAGACCCTGACTCCAAAGAAGAAAGAGCCCAGGTGAAGACACAGCCTGACGCCATAGGGGCCATCCCAAAGGCCGGCGGAAACACTCGCAGTGCTGAGTCTGCCCTGGGAGACAAGTTGACCCCACTGGACCAGAGAGTGTCAGGCTGTAGGCTCCTCGGGTCCCCTGAAGCATGAGGCTAAGGTGACCCCCAACCACATGGGTGGTCCAGATGAACCGCGTTAGGCTCCCGTGTCCCCTCTGGCCAGATCCTCGCCCATCTGTGGCACCTGGGCTACTCACCAGAGGACGTCATTGGCAATGTGTTCCGCGTGTGTAAAACTTTCCAGATGGCTGAATACCTGAAGCTGGAGTTCATCAAGGTGAGCAGTTAGGAAAGCCCTGTGCTGGGGGCTGATGGGCAAGGTCCTGGCTTCGCCCCTTTAGGCTCTTGCTGATGGACGGATGGATGGACAGATGGATGGAGGTGCAGGGCAGGGAACCCAGGCACCGGGCAAGTGCTCTGCTGCTGAGTCTTGTCCCTGCCCTTGATTTTGTAAGGTCCGGTGAATTGAGCTGTAATTAAGGTATATGAGGGGAGGTCAGCCCTTTGGGTATTGTCCCAGAAAAATTCCTGTTTTAAAATTTTTTTGATGGGGGCTGGGGGTTTAGCTCAGTGGTTCCAGCACCTGCCTCGCAAGCACAAGGACCCGAGTTCGATCCCCGGTACCAAAAAAAAAAAAAAATTTTTTGATGGTACTGGGGATTAAGCCCAGGGTCTTTGCACTGAGCAACATTCCCAGCCCTTGTTTATTGTTTATTTTGAGATAGGGTCTCATGGGGCACTAAGTTGCCCAGGCTGGGTTTGGGGTTTGGACCTCCTGCCTCAGCCCCCCAGAGTGCTGGAATTACAGGAGTGCACCACCATGCCTGGCTTTTTAAGTTCTTTTTTTTTTTTTTAAACAATCTTTCAGGGCCGGGGATTTAGCTCAGTGGTTTTGCCGCCTGCTGCACAAGTGCAAGGACCCGAGTTCGATCCCTGGTACCAAAAAATCCCAAAAAAGTCTTTCAAAGAAATAACAGAATCCTTTTAGGAAACAAATCTAACTCTAGTTCAGCACAGTGCATCATATCTTAGCCTCCTTCCCCCTGTGGAGTTGGAGTCTGCTGTGTCTTTTGAGCTGCAGGCTGGAGGTGGACCCTCCCGCGTGCCAACACCCGCACTGCCTGTCCGCAGGAGATCGGGTACACGCACATGCGCGTGGCGGAAGGCGTGAACTCCCTCCTGCAGATGGCAGGGCTGCTGGCCAGGCTGTGTCAGAAGACGATGGCGCCGGTGGCCACTTAGAGCAGGGACATCCATCACCAGAGCGGTCAAAGGAGTCCTTGCCCCAAGTGGGAGCGCGGCAGCTGTGACGGGCAGATATGCTCCGTTTTGGATTCCAGTGGCTCGTGGCACGTCCTGCTCCCTGCATGTCTGGTGGACCCGGTGACAGGATCCAGGTGCTGTTGGGGATGTAGCAATAAAGCTGGACCATGTTTGTCCTGTAGTGTTTGATATCCCGAGGTTTCAAGGGACACCTGCGTCCTCCCTGCTGCTGTGCCTGCCTCCCCGGGGCGACTGGGCAGCTGGCCTGGGCTTCTCCATTGGCTCCAGATCTTCAGGGCTGGCTATGGCTGCCTGGGGTTCAGAAAGGCCCCTCGGAGCAGCCCAGGATGGTGAGCCCTGCAGGGGCCGGGGCAGCTGGGGCTCTAGCCAGGGCCGCAGATGCCTGGGCCTCGGCTGTGTCACCTTCCCCTACTTGCATGGGCATGTTGCTTTAGAGTTCACCAGGGCTTATGTTTGTTTGACACCAGGGATAAAACCCGGGGCCTCATGCATGCCAGGCAAATGCTCCCACTGAGCTACACCCCTAGCCCCTTTTTATTTTGAGACAAGGTCTCACTAAGTTGCCCAGGCTGGCTTCCAACTTGGAATCCTCCTGCCTCAGCCTCCTGAGTAGCTGGGATTACAGGGTATGCTGCCTGCCCTGCTCCCTTTTTTTAAACTATGCTGAGTTTCAGTGGTATGTAAAGTAGCAGTGCCACACAGTGACCCTTCACAAGTTCATCACACACCTGGACAGTGTCAGCCACATGTGGCCAGGTGTGTTTCCTGTCCCCCACCCACTACCCTGCCCCTCCGAAAGCATTCTGAAGCAAATGCCAGGCCTTGTTTACTTACAGTGGTGGCTTTGCTTCTGTGATTGGTGGCTTCATTGGGGGAGGTGGGGCTTGGGTTTTTTGAGGGCTTTTTTTGAGGTGCTAGGGATGGAACCAGTGCGTCCCATGCTAGGCAAGTGCTCAGCCTCTGAGCTGCACCCCAGCCCCTCACATGGGAGGCTTTGGTTGAGATACTTGTGAGCCTGGTGTGGCAGTGCAAACCTGTAAGCCCAGCACACTGGGAGGCCGAGGCAGGAAGATTGCAGATTCAAGCCCAGGAACTGAGTGACTTGTGAAGTCTTGTCTTTCTGTTCCCCATTCCTATTCCCCAATGGATTTTCCTACTTTTAGAAAAATAAATAATAGGGCCCAGGATGTAGCTCAGTGGCACTTCGCCTGCCTGGCAAGCACAAGATTCCTGAGTTCGATCCCTGGTACCCCCCCCCCCCCGCAAATATAAATAAATAAAATAAATAGGGAGTGAGGGCTGGGGATATAGCTCACAGCACCCTGACTTCAGTCCCCTGTACTGCAAAAATAAAAGCGCTCTGGGTGCCCTGCAGGCTCCTGGACAAGGGCCACCCCGCCATGGCTGTGTGAGCCCTGTTGTAGAGGGGACAGTAGACAGCGACCTCGGCCCAGCTGTGGTCACCGGGTGGGTGGCTCGTCTCTGCCGGCCCTCTCCACAGCCTGTGTTGCTCTCAGACCACAGCGCTGGATGGGGACACCGCAGAGACAGGAAGGGCCTGAGGTTACCGGCCCTCTGGGTTGGCTCTCAGGGCCGGGGTGGGGCTGCCCTGCAGCCGCAGGTGTCATTTCCCACCAGACTTGCAATTGCAAACCTGGGCCGGCCTGGAAGCACAGCACGGTCACCCTGTTTGCAGACGAGCCCTCCATTCCCACGGCCCGTGGCAGCAGAGGCTGGTGAGTCCCGGCCCGCCTCCCCCAGGCCCTGGCTCACAGGAGTGGCTAGGCTGTGGGACGAAGGGACAGGTGGCCACAGTTTGGTTCTAGGTGTTTTTATTTCCTGACTTGTAAATTCCTCCCAGGGAAAGAATCAGTATGGTGTCCGAGGAAGAAGGTTGGACTCAGACCCAAGAAAATCTCCAGTCAAGTGTGGTGCACACCTGTCACCCCAGCACTCTCGGGGCTGAGGCAGGAGGATTGAAAGTTCAAACCAAGCTTGGGCCACTCAGTGACTTAGTGAGACCCTGAGTCAAAATAAAATACAGTGGGCCAGGTGTGGTGGTGCATGCCTGTAATCTCAGCACTTAGGAGGCTGAGGCAGGAAGATTGCTATAAGTTCAAGGCCAGCCTGGGCTACATAGTGAGACCCTTTCTGAAAACCCAGGAAACCATAATGGGCTGGGGCTGTAGCTCAGTGCAAAGGCTCTGGGTTCCATCCCCAGCACTAGGGAAAAAAAACCAAAAACTGGTCCACAGCCTTCTCTAGGTCTCAGGGTCCTTTGTTAAATAGGAGGCTTGACAGTCCCTTGGAAGGCTTGTGTCTGAGTGGGGACAGCGGGCAGGCACAACAGTCCCTGCTTTTTGGGGGACATGGTTTATCAGGAGGCTTGGTGGGAATCGTTTCTGACCCCTGCAGGCCCTCAACCACTGGGCCAAGCACCATGGCTCCAAGCCATGATGCACTTTTGTCCCCGCAAGTGACATTCACATGGAGAGAACATCACTGTGGCTCTGGCTTCATTTCTTCAGCCAAAGCCAGGAGAGGCCCCCACAGGGGGCAGGGAGAACCGGGCCCCTGAGCAGTGTGCTGCAGCCGGTGCCCGGAGACTGCATATGAAACACAGCTGTGCCCATGTGAGTTAATGGCACAGTGCACGATCATGTGAAAGATGCCCTGAACCCAGCATGGTGAACAGTTTGCAATCCAAAGCAGAAACAGACAAGAAATGCGGTATTGCACAGCATTTTAGAGGATAGGTCGGAGGTGCAGCTTGCCCTAAACCCTGGACATCCTATCACAGTGGGGGCCAGGTGACACCAGGCACCTGTGCTGCCCCAAGGAAGCCAGGTCGGGGCAGAGGTGCAGCTGTGGCAATGCCACATGTGAGTCTTTCCTGGCTGTCCCCATGGCCAGCCAGGTGGTCCCCAGCTGTTGAGCCCCTTTCAGGAGAAACCTCGAAGGGCCGAGGTGAGGATGCTGGGCAGGGCTGCTGGGTACTGTGACCCATCCACAAGGCCGGTGGTTCCCTCGGGGCTGGCGTTGGCTCCTTCAATGCAGATGAAGAGGGTTTGTCACAAGGGAAGCCTCAGCCACTGCGCATTCCCAGGATTCAGCTGCCTCCTGGCAGGATGCTCCCCCCAGCCTTGTCCCTTCTATTGTAGGAACCTTGCTCTTGGTCTGACCTTGGTCACAGCCTGGGTGACCACGGAGCACCTGGTGGCCTTTGCTGCCCTGTCCTGGGCTGAGCTCCCCCACACAGAAAGGACCTGTGCCGCCAGTGGGGTCCCAGCGGAGCCCTGCCTCCTGCCAGGCCAAGGGTACCCGGGAACCGGGTCTGGGCTGCTCCACACTGGGGATGCCCGGGCTGGCCAGGGTCCCCCAGCCACAGCCTGGCCCCAGACCCACACTTTCTGAGGGTGGCCTCGGTCAGCACACAACATGGCCACTGCCACCATCCTCCCACCATCCACGATCCCCAGCACTTGCTCTGTCACCACTTCCCTCTAAAGCGAAACTTTCTTCTTGGGTTTTTTTTTCTTTTGGTACTAGGGGTTGAAAATAGGACCTTTGTGCTGAGCTACAGGGACCCCCCCCCTTTTTTTTTGGTACCCAGGATCGAACTTGGGACCTTGTGCTTGGGAGGCAGCAGCACCACTGAGCTAAATCCCTGGCCCCCTTTCTGTTTTTCGAGACAGGGTCTTGCTAAATCAGCCAGGCTGGGCTCAAACTTGTGATCCTCGGGATGACAGGTGTGGGCCACATGCCTGGCTTAAAGTGAAACTTCCCAACCTGCACTCCCCAGTCCTTGCAGCCCCCCGCCATGCACCACACCTGCTCTTCTCACGGGTGACCTGCCACACCCCACGGTCCTCTTGACCTCTGTGGTGGGCCACGCCGTCCTGGTCGCTGTCTCCGGGGCAACACTATCTGCTGCCTCAGCCCCCACCTCCTGGCCTTGGTGACTGCCCCCAGCCCATCTTCTTCAACCACCTGGGCAGGGACAGCCCCTGGGGCTGCAAGGTCACGCTGCCTGCCCTGACCAAGGTTCGGACCTGAGTGCCTGCATGATTGGGCAACCGGAACTTATGTCCCAAACTCAGCCTTGGCCACCTGCTCCTGGGCCCTGCAGATCCCAGCCGCTGACAGTCACCTCCACTTCCCCGTGCTGCGGCCATGACCTTCCACATCTGTCTGTCCCCGCCAGTGTCCCGGGCCTGGTTCTCAAGCGCCCCCCCCCCACTGTGAGACCCCAGCGAGATCACCCTCTGCTGCTGCCCCTCAGCTCCGCGGGCTGCGTGCTCGTGTTGGATGGGGCTCTGCTGGGCCCGGGGTCGGGGCACACCCCGCCCTGTGGCCCGGCGCCCAGCGGCCCAGTGTCCTGGATGGGGACCTCAGCAGCTTGGGGCTCCCTGCGGTGACCCTGCTTTCCAGGCCGGGACACAGCTGCGCTACCGACCGTGGCCTCCATCCTCTCCTCCGTGTACTCCGGGTGTGGCCTGCGGTCTCGGGGTGGAGCTGTGAGTCCCCCCAACCCCAGTTTGGAGGCTCGTCTGTGTTGGCCACCTCTGTCCCTGTGCGGTCCTGTACCCATGTCCTGCCCAGCCCGGGCTCCGTGTCCTCCTCAGAGCCAGGGACCCCAGCTCCATTCTGCCAGTGAACAAACAGATTTGGAGCTGAGCCCCAGTCTGAGTCCCACAGTCCCTCAGGTCAGACTTCTCTGCCTGACGCCTGGGTGGCCTCAGGCCTGTCACCTGGATGCCTGTCACCTGCATGCCTGCCACTGAGGTCCCCAGCTCCACAGAGGTGCAGCAGGCGGAGGATGACAGTGCTGGGGCGCATCCCCCTCCTGAGGAGCTCGGTCCCCAGCACCCATGGGCTCCACCCATGAGACATCTCCCCTGTTCCCAGGGTCCCCAGGGCCCTCACCCGAGCTGGCTGTTGGGCCGTACCTCAAGTCATCTCCCTAGGCTTCCCCGGCCACATCCCCATTCACGTAGTCCGACTCCCCGCTGTCCTCGTCTGGACTCCCCACTGGGGACAGATGTGCCGCTCCGGGGACTTGTGCTGCGGGCCAGGGTGCAGGTGTGTGGGAGTGGTTGCTCCTGTTCCCAGATGCACCCCAGCTCTGACCCCTGACTCCACAGCAGCCCGCAGGGGATATCACACGTGGGGGACCAGCAGTCTGTCTATCTCTGGGGTCTGCCAGAGGTGGCCCTGTTCCGGGACCTGAGATGGTGTCATCGAGGGGAGTCCTGGCCAAGCACAGGAAGCCTGCAGCCTCAAGGGCACTGGAGGCCGCTGTGGAGTCTGACGGGTGGTGGGAGGGGAGTCCCCGACCTGTTCCCCAGAGCAGCCATGTCCCCTCAGCCACCTACCTGGGGCCCATGGGGACTCCTGCAACTGCTGGATGGATGCTGAGTTCTGATAGTCCCCAGACTCCTCTCTGCCTGCTGGCACAGGGACAATTTGGCCAGGCCTCCAGGGCAGCCCATGCCCTTCCCAGGCCAAGCTCTGGACACTGGCTGGACCACACTTTGCTCAGAGGCCCAGAGGCACCAGAGTCCAAGGCAGGGAAGGCTTGGGCCGTGGGGCCTTGGGCTCAGGAGCCCAGGTGGCCTGGATAGCACTCAAGGCCTCCGGCCCAGCCCTCCCGAAAGCCACTCACCTGACTCTGCGCTCCTGCTCCGAGGCTGACAGACGAGCACGTTCTCGTAGGAGTTGGTGTCGTCCTCATCTGCCAGAGGGAAGGCACCGCGGGCTGCTGGGGGTCTCCTGCAGGGCCTGCCTCTCCTGGCCCTCTGTCCTCTCGCCCTGGGCAGGGGACCTGGGCCGCCAAGCCCAATGCCTGGAACTTTCTCCTGGACAAGCTTTGCTTTCCTGGCCCCCTCCCTCTTTTCCTTCCTGGTACTGGAGACTGACGTCCAGGCCCTTCACACTGAGCTACATCCCCAGCCTTTTTTTGTTGTTTAAAACAGGGTCTCATGAGGCGCTGAGTTGCCCAGGCTGGGCTTGGACCTGGGATCCTCCTGCCTCAGCCTCCCAAGTGCTGGGATTATAGGTGTGCATCCATGTCTGGCTTATCTGTTCCTCTCTTTGGAAAGCAAAGGTGCTAAGAGCCAAAGGCTCAGCATGTAGCCCAGCTTGGGATGACCAGGGTTCCCTGCCTGGCAACCAAGCACGCCCTTGGCCCCTCTGCCTCACCTTGGAGGGGCTTCCAGGAGCAGCTCCAGTTGTAATAGTCTGCAGCAATGGGGTCTCTGGCCAAGGACATGGACCCAGGATGAGTTGGTGGATTGGCAGCGTCCAGTGGGGGCCAGAGGGGACTCAGGGCTAGGGCAGCTCTGACAGCTGCTTGCTAGCGGGGGGCTCTGCCATGGTCCCCTTCCCTCCCCTCGCCTGGCTCCAGGGGCCCTGCTATGTTTGCCTGTTTGTGAGAAGAGGCAGCAGGGCCCCTTCCTCCCCTCGGGGCTGGCCGTCCCTACGACAAGGCAGGGCAGGAGGAGCCTCTCCTGGATGTTGGCATCTCCGTCCTGTCCCAGCAGAGCCACCAGAGTAGAGGAGGGGAGCTCAGAGACCGCAGATGGGGAAGCTGGGGCAGGGCGGGCAGGGCAGGGCCGGGGCAGGGAGGTCACTCACATGTAGGCGTCAGACTCTCGTCTGCTCCCTGGAGGAGGCAGGGACAGTTAGGCGCGAGCTGGTAAGGCAGCCCCACACCCCAGAGCCCCCTTACCTTTGCTGAAGTTCTGGTACCGGGGGGACGCAGGGTCTGGAAGAAAGGCCAGGCACGGTCCGCCACCCCACCGCCCGGCCATGTCCCCACCTCGCCTCCCAGTCACTCACCCTCAAGCAGGGTGGAGAAGTGCAGCAGCTTGTCCTTCCTGTGGGGGACAGGGGTGCTGGGATGGACCCGAAGGCACCCAGGGAGGGGTGACCCTGGCCCAGGCTAAGCCTCTGGGGACCCCAGGCTGTGGCCCCAACAGGGTGTGATGGGAGCTGTTCCTACCCTGCAGGGGCTGTGTCCGTCAGGGGTCCCGGCCATGCCTGCCTGATCGCTGCAAAGGGAACGAGGTGTGGGTGGGCCCAGGCCAGCCCCGCATCAGGCCTGGCCCTGCAGACAGAAAGGATCTTTTCTGTTTGTTTTTTGAGGGTGTTTTTTTCTGGGGATTGAACTCAGGGCCATCACACTGAGCTCCATCCCTAGACATGTTTAATTTCTTATTTTGAGACAGAGTCTCCCTAAGTCACTAAGTTGCCCAGGCTGGACTCACACTTGGGAGCCTCCTGCCTCAGCCTCCCAGAGTGCTGAGATGACAGTCATGGGCCACCACGCCAGGCTCCTGACGTGAACCCCAGCCCCAGCCCAGTCCCTAGACCCCAGAGACTCACAGGAATAGGTCCGAGAAGCCACTGAGAAGCTCTGCTGCCTCTCTTGCCTGGAAACAGGAGGCTGTGCTGAGGGCAGCTTGGGGCCCACAGCCCAGGGACACAGGGGCAGGGCCGAGGGACAGTGAGGGACCAGGGTCAGAAAGAGAAGGGATGGGGAGGGTGGTAGTGGGGACAGGGTGTCGCCCTGCTGCCTCAGACGCAGGGCCCCCACCCCCACCCCCACCACACGGGGCGACACCCTTCACACAGCTGCCAGCCAGCCAGCCAGGCTGTCCCCAACACCATCACATCCTGCGTGGCTCTCAGGTCCCCTGGGAGGGGCAGGAGGGGGCAGGGCTGGAGAGGTGGCCCCGGGAGCCCCGGGCCCAGGGGAAACGGCTGCTCAGGGACCTGGTGGTGACTTGGGGAAAATGATTCAGTCACAAGCAACCATGAGCCTGCCTGGCCGCCTACACCTGGAATGTGTCACTGTCCCCAGAGGGCCCGGCCTGCCACTTAAAGCCGCCTGAAGGCTCAGCAGAAGCAGGTTCCCAGCGCTGCTCTGACGGCTCTTCTTCCTTGGGAGAAGACTGGTTTGTTCTTACTGTTTTCTTTTGAGAACCAAGGTTCTGGAGCTCATGACCCTCCTGGCTCAGCCTCCCAAGTTTCAGGATCACAGGCCCCACGCCTGGGTAGAAACCTGATTTTTACAGTGTTTCAGCAGCCGTGTGCCCTTTTCAAAGACTATGTCCCAGGCTTCTTCACACTTAAGTGTAGCCATGTGAATGAACTCCTGTCAGTGAGTTGCAAACGAAGCTTGCTGCTATTTCCAAGAAGTCTCCTTATGGGGCAAGGCCACCTGAGTAAACCCTTTTTGTCCTTATCTCTTCTTGCCTGCTTGGAATGCAGAGATAAGGGGTGGCACTCCAGCTGTCATCTTGGACCTTGAAGTTCTTTGAGGATGCAAGCCCCCCTTGCATATTTGGGGGAGTAAATTAGCCACTCATTTAGGCAGGTTTGGGGCCCCTCCCCTTGACTACAGTGAGTCCCTGGGGACCTGGTGGTTAGGGTGACCTGCTTTAGGAGGGATGCCCTAAGTCCATGAGAGAGAGTCAGGCATGGCTTCCTGTTGGGGATGATCTGGGAGTGGGGCCAGGAGCACACGGTGGTCACTTCCTGCAGGTTGATGGGCCTGAACCCTGACCACCCCAACACGAGGACGCGTGGCTTCTGGGCCTCACCGTGTGCGCTCTGCAGTCCATCAGGAGGAGGGGACACTGGGGACAATGGGAGGGAGAATCCCAGGAGGCTCCAGCTCCAGCCCAGGGTGTCAGAGATTCTGTTTTCAAATCTCACTGTGGTTCTTCAGTTGCAAAGGGAAATGAGGAAGGATGTGCGTGTGTGCGTGTGCGCGTGTGTGTGTGTGCGCGTGTGTGTGCGCATACGTGTGTGCACTGTCCTGCGGCATGTGACAGCCTCCACCTGTGCGCTCGGGGATTTGTCCTGGGCTTCACCCGCCTGCATCTGGGCTTTCACCCTCACTCCCGGGGGTGCGGCCAGTCCGTCTGTCCCCAGGGCGCCTGCCCTGCTCTCCTGCCTGGGCCCCCGCCGGGGCTACTCACAGGTTTCTCTGCTCGTAGATTTTCTCTGTCCTCTTCGGGCCTGTGAAGAGCAGGCAGGGATTAGCCAGCATCCCTGAGCCGCGTGGGGGCTGAGGTCCCTGCTTTCCCCTCCCCTGCTCCCTGCAGGCCTGGGACAGGACCGCTCAGCTTTGGGTCGGAGAAGAGAGATGGAGAGGGCTCCCACAGGCGGCCCAGCCCCCAGCCCCCTCTCTTGCCTGGAGCGACCCCCTGGCCCCAAACACTGCAGTGTTGTTGGTTTTTTCAGAGCTAGGCTCCGAACACCGGGTCTTTGCACTGAACCAAATACCCAGCCCACTTTCTTTTGTATTTTGAGACAAGGTCTCGCTAAGTTGCTAAATTGCCCAGTCTGGGTTCAAATTTGCAGCCCTCCTGACTCAGCCTCCCAGAGCACTGGGATTATAGGTGGGCATCACCATGCCTGGTTCAGAGACCCTACCTCACCTGGTGAAACCAAAGTCCCCCCTCCCCCAGGCACAGGGCCCAGTGTCTTCTGGGTCAGCTCGGGGTCCAGCACCCGGTGGTCGGGCCTGAGCGTCCCTGGGACCACGCCCTGACCAGGGGGTCCTCCCTCGGCCCTGGGTCCCCTTACCTGGGCGGGAGCAGTGCACACACAGCCCGGCCACGGCCACGGCCCCCAGCAGCAGCAGCAGCAGCAGCAGCAGCGCCGACCCCGGCCACAGCAGCTCCACCTCGGGGCCCATGTCCTCCGCTGTCCCTGCCTGCAACACTGTTGTTGCCTGTGAGCCCAGCCCGCACGTGGGTTTCTGACCCCACTGGCCCACATGGCCCCACAGCCAGGCCCAGGCACCCCTGGGACAGCCCAGTTCCCCTTAGGACACCAGCCAGCACCCCAGTCCCCTGCACCTCCCTCCATCCACCCAGCCTGTGAGGGAGGGCTCCCCCCAAGCACAAATGGAGAAACTGAGGCTGGGGCCTCCAGCTGCTCTGTGGACAGACAGGATTCAAGCCCTAGCCCGTTAACTGCCTGTGACCCCAGCACTCTGAGGCTGAGGCAGGAGGATCCTGAGTTCACGGCCTGCCTGGGCAACTTGGTGAGACTGTCTCAAACAAAACAAAACAAGGGCCGAGGATTTAGCTCAGTGGTTCTGGTGCCTACCTCGAAAGGGCAAGGTCCTGTGTTTGATCCCCCGTACCAAAACCAAAAAACAAAACACAAAACAAAACAAATGGCCTCACCCTGGGACCCTAATCCTGGCTGCTCCCTCTCCTGCCTCCAGACACCTGGGAGTGGCTTTCCCTTTTCTACACCTTCGAACCCAGCTTCTGCCTGTTGTGCAAGTGGGGAGGAAGCAGTCAGGGAAGGCTTCCTGGAGGAAGTGGCCCTAGGAGCTGAGATGGAAAATGGTGTCCTGGCCAAGGGGCTGCTGGTGGCAGCTGGTAGGGGCAGGAGCTAGGGTGCCAGCCCTGGGTGACACTTCAGGACACCCTGGGACTACTTCATGGCCGGCGGCACAGCATGGGGAATAAATAGACGTACAGCCCCCCGCAGCACCTCCACAAGCAACCTTAAAGAGACTCAGCCCCACCCGAGCTGGGCATGGCTGTGCACGACTGTGATTCCAGTGTCCTGGGAGGCTGAAGCAGGAGGGGAGCAAATTCCAGTCCAGCCTGGGCAACTTGGCAAGACCTTGGGGATGCAGCTCAGTGCAAAGGGCCTGGGTTCAATCCCCAGTATGGAAAAAGAGAAGAAGGAGAAAGAGAAGAGGAGGAAGAGGGAAAAAGAGAGAGAGAGAGAGTCCTTGGCACTGGCAGGGGACAGAGTGGGGGATGGCCCTGTGGAGCCACACTGCACCCCAGTTCTGCCCCTCTGGAGGAGCCTCCTCCCCCTCCCAGCTGGAAGGGGACCCTGTGTGGCCTGGGCTGCCCCTCCTTAGTGTGTGGCCCGGGCAGGTCTCTGGGTCTCCAAGTCATGGATCACACAGAACCCACATGTTTCACTGCAGGCCCTCAGCTCCCCTGAGCCCAGTGAGTCAGGGGGAACAGTGACTTCTCCCCATGTGACTCCCACTCCTTGGTCACCAGGCCTCCTCCCGGGCCCGAGCTCCTGTCCCACCACCCAGGCCAGGTCCCTGGACACATCCCTGTGGAGCTGTGGGAAGCAGCGAGCATTGGGGCCCCCCAGAGGAGGGTGCGGGGCTGGCTCCTGCCTATGCCAGAGCTCTGAGGACTCCGTGTCTCACCTAGAACATGGGGTCCAACTCCGAAGAAAGGACACTGAAGGGGACAGCAGAAAATGGAAAGACATCCCCTGCTGCTGGACAGGCAGAGCCAATCTAGTCAGAATGCCCACACCTCCAAAGCTGCTATTTAGATTTAATGCAGTCCCAATCAAAATACCAAGAGGATTCCTCACTAAACTGGAGAAAACAACCCTAAAATTCAGAGGGAACCAGAAGAGATCCAGAATAGCAAAAGCAATTCAGGGCAAGGGCAAGGGAGGGGGCATCACAATCTCAGACTTGGAGCTACATTACAAAGCTACAGTGATCAAAAAAGCATGGCACTGGCACAAAAACAGACATGTGGCTCAGTGGAATAGAGGAGAGGAAGCAGACACAACCCCAGGCACCTTTGGCCACCGGAACTTTGACCAAGGGGCCAAAAACACACTGGAGGAGAGAGGGCCTCTCTAACAAGTGGTGGTGGGGAAACTGGCTTCCCACATGCAGAAGACTGAGTCTAGAACCAAATCTCTCACCAGACACTAAACTAAAATTAAAATGGATAAAGGATCTAAGTGATAAAACAGAAATATTTAATCTGCTGGAAGATAAAATGGTAAAACTCTTGAAGGCACAAGCACAGCCAAAGACTTTCTGTACAGAACCCACTGCACAAGAAATAACACCAAGAATCCACAAACAGGATTGCATCAGATTAAAACGCTTCTGCACAGCAAAGGAAATTAGTGACAGAGTGAAGAGACACCACTGAGATTCCACGCCACTCCAGAGAGAATGGCTATCTTTAAGAAGGTAAATAATAACACATGCTGGAGGGGCTTCGGGGAGAAAGGACCCTTCTTCACTGTCGGTGGGAGTGTAGACTGGTGCAGCCACTGTGGAAGTCAGCATGGGGATTCCTCATAATGCTAAGGCTGCTGTTTTCTCTCTTGCACAGTGGGCTAGGGTGTAGGGTGTACTTCTCTTCCTACTTTTACTTGGCCCAAGCTTGCTCTGCAGAGTCTTTTTTTTCCTACCTTTAATTAAACTTTCCTACTGTAAAAAAAATCCCCAAAAACCTAAAGACAGAAATTCCATTTGACTCAGAAGTTCCCCTTCTTGGTATCTTCCCGAAAGATTTAGACATCATGTCACACTGATCCATGCACCCCCATGTTTATAGCAGTGCAATTCATAATAGCTCCACCTTGGAAGCAGCCTTCATATCCATCAACAGATGAATGGATAAAGAAAATGTGGTTTTTATACAGTGGAGTACTACTCTGCCATAAAGAAGAATAAACTTGAGTCAAGAATAAACTTGAAAATGGAAGGACCTTGAGACCACAATGCTAAGTGAAATAAATCAGACACACAAGTTTAAATACTGCATGGTTTCTCTGAAACAAGAAACCCAAAGTATAAATAAATTAAAGAGCAAAGTAGCTCTCTGCTTCCTATTGCCACAACATGAGCCGCTGTCCTCTGCTACTCCCTGACATGCTATCCTCGGCTCCAACTGATTGTGGGCTCTAAACATGAGACAAAATAGTTTTCCTCCTCTTTAAAAAAAAAAAAAAAAGAACAAAATAAAAGATAGATAATTGGAAACAGGGAGATAGATCTTTTACAAATGGGAAGCAGCCTCGAAAGCACAAGTTCCTGAGTTCGATCCCCAGTACCAAAAAAAAGGGAAAGGGACCAAGCGATGAGGGGGCATAGGAAGTCAAAAGAATCGAGATGAGTATGTGTTAAGTGCATGTACCGACTCCCCACGATGATTATGATCAGTACACACTGCAAATATGTCTGACAGAAATAAAAAGTTTAGAAATAAAATAAAATGGGATCCAGTTGGGCATGGTGACAAACCCCTGTACTCCCAGCACTCTGGGAGGCTGAGGCAGGAAGATTGAAACTTTGAGCCCAGCCCAGGTAACTTAGTGACTTAGCAAGACCCTGTCTCAAAATAAGAAATAAGAAAGGGCTGGGGATGGAGCTCCGTGTGAAGGCCCTGGATTCAGCCCCTGGATTGGAGCGTCCTCAGGCTGCTGGGGCGCCCGGCCCACTGTGTGGCTTCCTTGGGCCGCCTGGGCTGGGCACTGCCCTCCTCGGCCCAACACCTGGCATCTTTATCTTCAGTTAGGACGGCAACTCTTCCTGCTCCGCAAAGACGCAGATGCTGACACAGGAGGGCTGCACAGGGCTTGGACGTGGCCCAGGAGACCCCGGAGCAAGGCCGGCTCACAGCCACTCCAGCCTGCTTCTGGGGAGCGAGGCCCTCGGGCCCCCAGCCCCGCTTCCCGGGTGGACAGGACCCTGGGCAGGAGGCTGTCCGTCCTGCCCCACGTCCTCCACCTGTCCGGGGGACAGGGACACTCAGCCCTCACTTGGGTTTGTCATCCACATGCCAGCCTGGGCTGTGGGGGCTGGGGTGGCTCCTGTCACCGGCACGTCCCTAAGGCCCCATGTGTGGCATGGGAAGTAGGTGCTGGCCGCGTGGCCTGAGACAGACACCAAGGTGAGCAGGCAGGCCAGGCACCTGCTGCCCCGACTTGAAAGGCCAGGCCTTGTGCCTCTGACCCCGGGGACCGAGGAGCTGGGACCCTGTGAGGCTGTGGCCTGAAGAGCAGGTGTGATGAGCCTCCTCCACGCCTTTGGTGCCCGTTCCTCAGGGAAGACGCCTCTGAGCCCAGCAACGGGAAGCTCAGAGAGGTGCGTCCCATGTCACAGGGTCACACAGTGGCAGAGGCACAGGGGCAGGGTTCAAAGCCAGGGCAGGCAGACACCAGATGCCATGCTTCCGTCTCTCTCTCTCTCTCTCTCTCTCTCTCTCTCTCTCTCTCTCTCCAGGGTCTCAGTATGTAGCCCAGCCTAACCCTCAACTGGCCTTGAACCCTCAGCAATCCTCCTGCCTCAGCCTCCTGAGTGCTGTGATTACAGGCCTATGCCACCACACCTGGCATCATTTCCATTTTTTGAGATAGGGCCTCATGAAATGGCCCAAAGTTAGCCTTGAATTTGGGAATCCTCCTGCCTCAGCCTCCTGAGTGCTGGGATCAAGGGTGTGCACCTCCATGCCTTGGTAGTCATGAAATATTTTTAAAGAGAGACTAGCAAGACCTTGAGTGTCTACCCAGCAGCTGAATAGATTCTGTGCTTGCTCTCGCTCTCACAGGTGGCTGGGGGGTGCTGAGGCTGAGCCCTGGGAGGCCCTAGGGGGAAGGGGGCTGGGTGAGGCCGGCACAGCCCCTGCTCTGTGGCCGAAATAGCTCAAGGGGAAGTGGGCAGTTTTCTTATGAGCACAGCTCACAGGAACCACCAGGGAAACCACGGGCCCAGCCTGGGCGCTGAGCTCTGCTGCAGCCTTGGAGACCGTCCTGGCTGGGGACACAGCTGGGGACAGGGCTGGGGACAGGGCCGGGGACAGGGCAGGCGGGCTCAGACGCAGGCCGGGAGGGGGGCAGAGGGTGGGACCCTGGGCCTGCCGGGTCCCAGCGACGTTGAGCTTCAGCAGGCTGGTGAGGGCCCTCCGAGGAGGCGGCTGGTGCCCGGGTGGAGGGGACAGGGCAGTCAGGGGCCGGGGGGAGTCGGGCACAAGATCCCCTCAGAGTCAGCAGGGAGCAGGGTGGGACCGTGCTCTCCTGTGGGCCCTGGCCAGTGGCAGGGACAGCACCGACCCGTGCTGTGGATGCAGACACGAGGCTGCCCCTCCCCAGGCCTGGCCGGGACAGGGCCGCCCTGAGGCTTCAGGGCCGGGCAGCGGGCGGGCAGGGACAGCAAGGGCAGAGTGGATGGAGCCCGGGACAGGCGGGCCTGAGTGCGGCAGGCCGAGTGCCAGGGCAGGCGCTGTCCGGGCAGGGTCGCCCGGGTCCTGCGGGCCGGGCCGAGCCCGGGGATCCTTACCTGAGCTGGCTCCTCACTGAGGACGCCCCATCCCCGCACTGCTCCAGCAGCCGGCGCTGTGGCCTCTGGAGGGCAGCAGGCGAGGCGGCAGCTTCCTGTCACCACTGAATCATCCCTCACATCCGCCGCCGGACAGGCCCGCCGCGGCGGGGAGAGCAGAAGGCCACAGATACAGGGTGAACGCAGACCCGAAACGTCACGGGCGGCCATGGCGGCGCACACCTGTCATCCCAGCGCTCTGGGAGGCTGAGGCAGGAGGGCCCCAAGTTCAAGCCCTGGCTGGGCAACTTAGTGACTCAGCGAGAGCAGGTCTCAAAATAAAGAATAAAAAAGGGCTGGAGATGGGCTCAGTGGATAGCTCTGGGGTCAGTTAGCAGTACCACACACACACACACGCGCGCGCGCGCACACACACACACACACACACACACACACACACAGGGAGGGGAAGAAACAGGCAGAGACGCACAGAAAGAGAAAGACGTAGGCCGGGACATCGCACACAGACGGTGGCAGAGCCCAGGGACAGTGCAGTGCACACAGGGAGAAAAGGGAGCAGAAAGCAGGGACGCGGGGAGCCACGCGCAGACGGGACAGACGCAGAGGGCGCGGGACAGGACCGGGACAGGACCGGATCTGTGCCAGGGCGCAGCAGAGGAGACCACGGGCAGCGAGCAGGCAGCCAGGCACGAGCCAGGCGGCACGGACCCTCCTGCCCCGGGCCCAGGGCCGCCTGTCGCTGTCTCGGTGTCACAGCGAGGCTCCCGAGGCGGCAGAGGAGGCCAGGTTTGGGTCCAGGCGGACGGCAGTGCACCTCGGGGAGTCGCGGGCGCGGCCTGGTGGCCCCGCTGGGCATTAGCCAGCCTGCCCGGGCCATTGAGGCTTGGGTGGCGTCCAGGGTGCCCCAACTCCCAGGTAGGACACCAGGGCCGGAGCCCCGAGAGTCCCTGACCCGCTGGGAGTTTCGCGTCTCAGCCGGGTCCTGGCCCTGGGCGTAACACCAGCGTGGAGCCCGCATCCTCCTTTAGCCCCTAGGGCCCGAGACACAGCGGTCTGGAGGCGGACTGGGCAGCCCGCTGCTGCCACCTGGTGGGGCAGGCGGGGAGCGCGGCTTCGGGGCTGGCGGGGACGCTGAGCTCGCTGGTGTTAGGAGCGCAACAGCAGCAGCGCCTGACCCCAAAATCGGTGCCGGCGGCTTAGCGAGACCCTGTCTCAAAATAGACAATAAAAAGGAGCTGAGGATGTAGCGTAAAGACCCTGGGGTCAACCCGCATACCCCTCCCCACACATCAAAACAGCTGAACTGACCCAGTCCGGGGGGGACCTGGAACACCCCCCAGCTCCCGCCTCCCCACCAAGTGCACTCTCCTTTGTGTGGTCTTTGGCTTCCACTCGCTGTACATTTAAGAAACTGTTGAGCCGGGTGTGGTGGTGCACACCTGTAATCCCAGCACTCAGGAGGCTGAGGCAGGAGGATTGCCTCGAACTGGAGGCCAACCTAGGCTACATAGTGAGTTCAAGGCCTTGTCTCAAAAACAAAAAAAACCCAAAGCAAAACAAAGCTGTGTGTCTGATTTATTTCATGTAATATTATGGTCCCAAATTACATCCATTTTCCTACAAATGACTCAAGTTTACCTTTCTTTTTTTTTTGGTACCGGGGATCAAACTCAGGTCCTTTCGCTTGCGCAGCAGGCAGCAAAACCACTGAGCTAAATCCCCAGCCCAAGTTTACCTTTCTTTATGGCAGAATAGTGCTCTATGGTGTGTAAATACCACACTTTCTTTGTTCAGTCATCTGTCGATAAGACATACAGGCTGCTTCCAAGATGGAGCTATTACAAGTTGCGCTGCTGTAAACACGGGGGTGCATGGGTCAGTGTGACATGATGTCTTTAATTCTTTTAGGAAGATACCAAGGAGGGGAACTGCTGGGTCAAATGTCTGTTTTTAGTTTTGTGAGGAATCCCCATGCTGACTTCCACAGTGGCTGCACCAGTCTACACTCCCACTGACAGTGAAGAAGGGTCCTTTCTCCCCACAGCCCCTCCAGTATTTGTTATTATTTACCTTCTTAAAGATAGCCATTCTCTCTGGAGTGGCGTGGAATCTCAGTGGTGTCTCTTCACTCTGTCGCTAATTTCCTTTGCTGTGCAGAAGCATTTTAATCTGATGCAATCCTGTTTGTGGATTCTTGGTGTGATTTCTTTTTTTTTTTCTTTATTTTTTTAGGTACTGGGGATGGAACTTGGGACCTTGCACTTGCAAGGCAGGCAGTGGAACCACTAAGCTAAATCCCTGGGCCTTGGTGTTATTTCTTGTGCACTGGGTTCTGTACAGAAAGCCCTTGGCTGTGCCTGTGCCTTCAAGAGTTTTACCATTTTATCTTCCAGCAGATTAAATATTTCTGTTTTATCACTTAGATCCTTTATTCATTTTAATTTTAGTTTAGTGTCTGGTGAGAGATTTGGTTCTAGACTCAGTCTTCTGCATGTGGGAAGCCAGTTTCCCCACCACCACTTGTTAGAGAGGCTCTCTCTCCTCCAGTGTGTTTTTGCCCCCTTGGTCAAAGATCCGGTGGCCAAAGGTGCCTGGGGTTGTGTCTGCTTCCTCTCCTCTATTCCACTGAGCCACATGTCTGTTTTTGTGCCAGTGCCATGCTTTTTTGATCACTGTAGCTTTGTAATGTAGCTCCAAGTCTGAGATTGTGATGCCCCCTTCCTTGCCCTTGCCCTGAATTGCTTTTGCTATTCTGGATCTCTTCTGGTTCCCTCTGAATTTTAGGATTGCTTTCACAAGTTCCACATCCTTGGTTAGGTAAATTCCTAAGTATTTCATTCTTCTTGATGCTATCGTGAGAGATACTGTTTCTCTAGTTCCTATCTCAGTGAGTGTATTGTGGTGACCAGAAATGCCATGGATTTTTGCACACTGACTTTGTGTCCTGCTGTGCTACTACATTTGGTAATTAATTCTAGGAGTGTTTGGTGGAGATTTTGGGGTCTTTTCTGTGGAGGACCATGCCATTTGCAAAAAATGATAATTTAACTTTCCCTTACTTATCCATATCCCTTTTATTTCTCTCTTGCCTAACTGCTCTGGCTAACGTTTCAAGAGAGTGAGACATCCTTTATTTATTTATTTTGAGACAAGATCTTGCTTTGTAGTTCAGTTTGACCTCCAAATCATGATGATTCTCCTGCCTCAGCCTCCTGAGTACTGGGATTACCACACCTGGCTTGATTATACTTATTGATTTTCATATGTTGAACCATCCCTGCATCCCTGGTCATGAATCCTACTTGGTTATGGTGTATGGTCTTTTTTGGGGGGGGGTACTGGGGATCGAAACGGTCTTTTTGATGATTTTGTGCATTTTGTTTGCCAGTATCTTCCTGGGGATTTTTGTATCTATGTGCTTTAAAGAGATTGGTCTATAGTTCTCTTTTTTGGTTGGGTTCTTTTCTGGTTTTGGAATCAGGAATGACTTTGGGAAAACTGCTTCCTTTTAAATTTCTTTTTCTTTCTTTTATTTTTTGTACCATGGATTGAACTCGGGGCCTTGAGCTTGTGAGGCAGGCGGTGGAACCACTGAGCTAAATCCCTGGCCCTTAAATTTGGTTTTTTGAAACAGTCTTGTTATGTAGTTTAGGCTGGTCTTGAACTTCTGGCAATCCTCCTGCCTCAGGCTTCCAAGTGTTAGGATTACAGGCGTGTGCCGCCAGCCCCAGCTTCCTTTTCAATTTCATTAGAGTTTGAGGAGTATTGGTATTAGATCTTCTCTAAAGCTGGGCTTTTTTTAGTTGGTAGGGTTTTAAAAAAAATTATTATTACTTCTTCAATTTCATTGACTGATATTAGGTTATTCAAGATTTTTTTGATTTTTTTGAGTTCTTTATGTATTCTAGATATTGGTCCTTTGTCTGAGGAGCAGCTGGCAAAAAATTTTTTCCCATTTGGTGAGTTGTCTTTTCATTCTGTTGGTAGTTTCTTTTGCTGTGTAAAAGCTTTTTTTTTTTTTTGTATCTGGGATCAGACTCGGGACCGTGCACTTTCGAGGCAGGCAGCGGAACCACTGAGCTAGATCCCTGGCCCCGCAAAAGCTTTTTAATAAGATGAGATCCGGTTGTTGATTCTTTGTGATATTTCCTGTGTGATTGGGGTTTTGTTCATAAAGTCTTTGCCTACCCCAATGTCTTCAAGAGTTCTACCTATTTTATCTTCCAGCAGATTTAGTGTTTCTTTTTTTTTTGGTACCGGGGATTGAACTCGGGTCCTTGCGCTTGCGCAGCAGGTGGTGAAACCACTGAGCCAAATCCCCGGCCCTAATTTAGTGTTTCTGCTTTAATATTTAGATCTTTGACCCATTTTGATTTTAGTTTAGTGCAAGGTGAAAGATATGGGTCTAGTTTTAATTTTCAGCATCTGGAAAGCTAATTTTTCCAGCACCATTTATTAAAGAGGCCGCCTTTCTTCCAGTGAGGGTGTTTGGCTCCTTTGTCAAAGATAAGGTGGCTGAATATGTTTGAAGTTGTTTCTGCAACTTCTGATCTGTTCCATTGATCCTCGGGTCTGTTTCTTTGCCAGTACCATGCTGTTTTTATCACTGTGCCTTTGTGGTACAAAAAGGGATTGTGATGCCCCCTGCCTTGCCTTTGTTGCTTAGAATTGCTTTTGCTATTCTAGGTCTCTTCTAGTTCCAAATTAATTTCAGGATTTTTTTTTTCTCTTATTCTGTGAGGTATACTATTGGTATTTTGATCAGAATTGCATTAAATCTGTAAAACAACTTTGGAAGTATGGTCGTTTTCACATTGGTTCTTCCCACCCAAAAACAAGGGATATCTTTGCATTTTCTGATATACTTTTTGATCTCCCTTTTCAAAGTACTGTAGTTTTTTGTGTTTTTTTTGGTACTGGGGATTGAACTCAGGTCCTTGTGCTTGCAAGGCAGGAGGCAGAACCACTGAGCTAAATCCCTGGCCCTGTAGTTTTCTTTTTATTGTTGTGTTTTGTTTTAGTACTGTAGTTTTCAATGTAAAGATCTTGTGTTTCCGGCTGGAGATTTAGCTCAGTGGTTTCGCCACCTGCTGCACAGGCTGACCGGAGTTTGATCCCCAGTACCAAAAAAAAAAAAAAAAAAAAATGGATCTCAGTCCATAGGTTATGGAATGTGACTATGGCAGTGGATTGT